TCGAAGGTATTACTCACGGAACGTCTAGCAGTTCTTAGTAAGTGAGCAAAAAAGTAAAAATTTTTGAGAAAAACACCAGAACGAAAGTTCCAGAATTTACGTTATAACGAACTTTCAATGGCAAGAATAGCGATGTATGCACGGTACGCTGGCACTACTGGACCTGGTGCATGAATAAACACTTTGATTTGCTCTAAAAACGGCGAAAATGGCTTAGTGATCAATAAGCCATCGTCTTCCCTCTTCGGATCTTTTATAATCAAACGCTGACGGATACCCTCTGCAACATACAACTTTCGCAACATTGTAATGCAAAATAAAATGTAAAATTTAGTCTAATGCTTAGAAACCAAAGACTGTCAGCCTTACAAAACAAAAATTTTGTTAAGGTGCTATGCCATTTTCGGCGAATATTACCAGTCCTTCTTTACTGTTCCTTCCCAGCACCCAACACCAGCAAAAAAATTCCAAAAAAGTTAAATTTCATGCCAGTGTAAAAAAAACCTAGTTAGTAAAGCATCGCATCGTGTCTAGAAGCGACATTGTTTGAGCAATGTCCAACACACGAATAAACTCTTGCAAGCATTTTTTGGGAAGTTCCTTCAAAATCTGAACGTTAGAACCGCCAGCAGACTGATCTTAGGCGATGCACCATTCAAAACATTAGGCGATGCAGCACTGGTCAAGGCAATTAGAAAAGCAGATAAGTGTATAGCAGAAGAATCAGGCAATGTGTATCAAAAACGGTTTATTTTAGAAGCAATTTCACCAACATGCAGTTAACTTCAGTTTAATTCCTTGCAGCCGACTCCTCGCCATTTCGATTGTGCCCTTTGGACTGCAGTTAGCGTCTGAGTTTCAAAAAGTTTCTTGTCCTTCTAGCTAATCCCTTCTCAACATAACTAGACTGATCGAGACCTCTTTAATAGATTTTTAGCTATCTTAACTTACTTTTACGTATTTTTATCCAGTCTTTTTTTTCTTACATCTTTCCGTATAGGTAAGATTTTGTTACATTAAAAAGCACGCGTGAGCAATTGAGTACTTACTGGAAATGTCTGAAGCGCGAAGTATTCAAAGGTGGCCAGACAGGGAACCCTGGTGCCGCCTGGCTCTGGAGGGGTAATTTGGGTACTGGTCTTAGTCCGATAAGTAGCAATCCTTTTCAGCTGCACTGTTCCTAAAAGGGTTTGTACCTTTAGCCGTGCACATTCCTTCCTTCTACGGTCAGCAAACCACAATAGCAGATTTAACCAAGCTATTTCATCCCGTAGACCGCCCGCGGATGTTTTAGCTGAACAACCAGATGGCCACAACTTAAAACGACTTTTCCGAATTGATGTACATGGACGGATTTCCAGAATTACTAAAACTGATGATAACATTCGCTATTACACACATGCTGTGGTGGCAATTGTATATGCTGCAGTGTGATTCTTTCAGATGGGTTGGTAAAATCCTCCGTCACCGACTCCCGCTTTGTCCTCTATGTAATCCCAGTGATTTTACTCAACTGCAAAAAGGCTAGCATAATTTATGTAATTACCTATAGGGCCTGTGGCATACAATATGTAGGACAAATCAAACGAACTCTAAAAACTCGAGCAAGACAGCAAGATATAATGTTGCCCGCAAAACAAATACTATTCTTTACAATCATTATCAGATGTCTGGGCATGGACCAGACTCCGTGGGCATTGAAATTGCCGAATGTGTAGACAGTACAACCACTATCTTATTTCAACGTGAACATTTTTGGATACAAACCCTTAACACGGCTTACCCTTCTGGACTTAATGACAGCATCATGGCTTATGGGAACATATCAGAAGGACTGCTTCCTTTCATTATACTTCCAAGTACCGTTGCCTAGAAAGCGCCGAAGGCATGGGTTACGCAAGCGAAGAAATAGGCTAGTTAACCAGAAGGTTACTGACTGTACGCTTACTTGCGCCACTGACACTCTCCAGGTTATTCGTCTTTTACTTAATAAACTCTACAGTTTTAACAATAGAACTCTTCGGTTGCTTCGGCAACGCGTTGCTACTGAGGTATTGCCTTTTGCAAAAGCTTGCATTCTGCAAGGTTTCTTACTTTTTCAACTGAAGACCTCATCTTCACGTACTCGTCATGATGACACTGTCTACTTCACTATTCCTTAACCAGGAAACGCTTTTGTCGATCTAAAACTCCGTTCCATTTTTCACGATACTACAGCAAGAAGTTTGTCCCCAATACATCCTTCCCCTCGTATTTCTGTCAGTTTCAAGTACCAAAATCCTATAAGCTACCGCACTGCGAACAATGCTACTTTTCCTAGACGTCTCAATGACAGACCAGTGATTCTTGCTAACTTATTGTCTTCACCTTGTCAACATGCACGTTCACCTTTCCTCTATGAACCCGCTGGTTACACTGTAACAGGTAAATTAGACATTATCCGTAACCGGCAACTAAGGGGTGTACCGAAGAAGAGTACTAAATTCAGACCCATGGTGATTAAAATTGCAGACGAAATTATAACTGATATCTCCAAGACTTTAGACATAAAAAGTTTGATATGACCAAAACAGAACGCTCCGTTCTCAGATTCTGCTTCAAGAAGAGGTCTGCTGTCAGCAAATTCATCTTTCCTGATGATACGGAAATTAAATGTCTAGTCAGTATGCTATTTTCATAAAAAGCATTTTCTCGAAATAATTTTCCGTAACTAGAGCTAACTCCTTTTTTTTTTTCACTTCTCTCTTACTTTGCTTTGTCTTTCTCTGTTTTTTCTTTCTCTCATATATCCGTCTTGCAAATTAGTCAAATGGTTTTCAGCACATGGCGGGTAGGAGGCTGTACTGATGATTCCCGCTTCTACCCGCACGCTTAATTCAGTCTGTGCTTACAGCTAAGGGATGAAACAAAGGTTGCATCGTCAAATGTCTTCTTATACATGACATCTAAGCCCAGTCCTTTTATTCTGCAATTCATCCATTTGTTACGAAAACTCATTTATTCCTCTCATATGCTCGTGATGAATGGTTCGATCGATTGTGTATTTGTGTATGGCTCACAACGCATCAGGTTTTCAAAGTATTATTTCAACTGACACACCAAAATT